GAGCCCAGCAGGTGAGGCTGCTGTGACCGGGAGCAGCCACTGCACTCCAGTTTGGGTGACAGAGTGAGACTCCAACTCAAAAAAAAAAAAAAAAAGACATGATTCTTCTACCCAAGGGGCTTGCTGCTTAACAGAGAAATGAGGCATATGAACTAAGCACTGAGGAATTCCTTCTTAGGAAGGGCAAGCACAGCTGGAGTCACTTGACTGCACATCTGTATTTCCAAACAGAGTCTATAGTAGAATACCTGCCTATATACAGATAGCACCTGGCAAGCTGAGTAAGGCAAGGATGCACAGAAGAGCAGGCTCACCTGCTGCGCCACAGTGCCTCGGAGGTCCTGCAGCACACCCAGCATTTGGAAGATGTCAAACACATGTACCACCTGGATCCTCTGGAGAGCTCCTGCCTGAAAAGGTGGAAAAGAGAAGCAGGGCTTTAGAAAAGACAGAGAAGGGGGTTGAGAAAGGAGATGAAGAGGAATTGTAATGTTGAAAAGGAGAAGGCACCCTAGATGCAAGAATTCAGGCCCAGGATGGTAAATGGCCTTTGTCTAATGGGCCAGTTCTCACAGCAGTGGCTGCCTGGGTGCTGAGCTGTAAAGTACTCAGAACTCAGTGGGAAACAGTGATACAACTGATTACTGAAGCATGCTACGAGCAAGAAATGGACTGGAAACACACATGCTCAGTGTTTGCCAGCCCTCTTTTAGGGTATACAAGGAGTTGGGTGGATTTCCTGAAAGAAGAAGTGTGGGTATTATCCAAGCTGTGATGACAGCATTAACAGGGGTGGCTTAAGGAATACAGGAAGTATTAATAGAATAGCAAGTTTAAAGCAAGAATGGTCATACTCCGAAACCCCAAATTATTGCAGTATAAGGGATAATGGGGTCTTCTTGTGTCAGAATCTCAATGGAACCCAACCACCCTGTCCCTTACCTGTTCCTCCTCATCCTGGGTTCTGGCCTGAAGTAGCTGGAGGAGGCGGGAGGCTGTTAGCCCTCCATTGGAATCAACATATAGGACGTTTTGCTGCAGGCTATGGGCCATGTTGGCTGCCACACAAAGACATATCTGAATAGAAACGGAGGATTGGGTAAACTTGAGTCCTCAGAGAGGGCCCAGAAGGGGAGCTTCCCATAAAATCTTGCCCTGATTCCAGCGACACAAATGGGTCAAGTCCAAGCCCCACTCCTCACCCACTACCTTTTCTCTGTTGAGTCCTGAACCTCAAGTACACCGGCAGAAGTCCCCCAGGGGCCCAGGGCTACATATCCACCTCCCCTAGTCGTCCTGGCTGCTGGTCTCACGTGTACCTGGGTTTTGCCGCTGCCTGGGCCTCCTACAATTTCAGTCACTTCTCCAGTATAGAGACCAGCATCAAGCAGTTTGTCCAAGCTGATGATGGCAGAAGAGGAGAGAAGAGAAGCAACACAGATTAGGGGAAAGACAGGGGAATAGGTACCAAGAAGAAAAGAAAGGCATTCCTTCTAAGCACTGCTTTGAATGTCTCTGGCCAGGAGGCTTTCCCTAGTGGAGTTTTCTTCTGGAAAGGAGGGCATGCCGTAAATGTTCCTTCTCTGGTCTCTCATCACCCTTCCATCCTCATCTTAAAGATCACTGCTCCAGGAACCTTTGCTACCCCATCAAAAGGTCCTTCTTTTTTTTTTTTTTGAGTTGGGGTCTCACTCTGTCGCCCAGACTGGAGTGCAGAGGCCGCTCCTGGCCACCGCAGCCTCAACCTGCTGGGCTCCGGCAATCCTTCTGCTCAGCCTTCCAAGTAGCTGGAACTACAGGCGTGCGCTATCACGCCCGGCTCATTTTTGATTTATTGTAGAGATGAGGTCTCACCAAGTTGCCCAGGCGGGTCTCAAACCCGCGGGCTCAGGCAATCCACTCACCTCAGCCTCCCAAAGACACGGGATTACAGGCTGAGCCACCGAGTTCAGTAAGGTCCTTCTTTCATTCTTCATCTCAGTCCCTTGTGGGTTTTCTTGATAGCATTTCCCATAATTTGTAATTTTTAAAAAAGCTTTGAGATACTTATAGATTCCCAGAAAGCTTCAGTAAGTTCCCATAAGTCCCATGTACCCTTCACCTGGCTTCCCTTAATGGTAACAAAATGTATTGTTTTAGCTGAATGCCTCCCAGCTACTAGGGAGGTAGAGGTGGGAGGATCACTTGAGCCCAGGAGTTTAAATCTAGCCTGAGGAACACAGCAAGACTCTAAAAAAAAAGTATAGCACAGTATCACAACTAGCAAACTGACATTGGTACTATCTACAGGGCTTATCCAGATTCCACTGGTACGACTTGCATTCAAGTGTGTGTAGTTCTATAGCCACACCCCTCCCACCCACTCTTAATCCCTAACCCCTGGCAGCAACTAATCTGTTCTCTATTTTGTTTTCAAGAATGTTATGTACATAAAATCATACACTATGTAAACGCAGTGATTGGCTTTTTTCACTCAGCATCATTTCTTGAGAACCATCCAAGTTGTAAGGCTAGTTCATCCCTTTTTATTGCTGAATGTATTCTATGATATGAATGTACCACAGCTTAACCATTCATCAACTGTGGGACATTTTGCTTGTTTCTACTTTGGGGCTATTATGAATAATACTGCTATAAACATTTGTATACAGGTTTTTGTGTAAATCCAGGTTTTCATATCTTTGGGATAAATGTTCAAGAATACGATTGCTGGGTTATGTGTGTTTATATTACTAATTTTAAATTAGCAAGGTATTTTTCAGAGTGGATATACCATTTTACATTCCCATTAGCCATGCATGTATAAGTCAGTGTCTCTACATCCTCATCAGCATTTAGTGTTATCACTGTTCTTTTTTTTTTTTTTT